TCTCCCGATCTCCCCAAAACCCCAAAACCCCATTTCATCAAATATAGGTTATCTGAGGAAGAATCTATTTATCGAAAAATATTTCATTTTTAAAGAGTAGATAGGCTTAGGTTTAATATTTAATAAGACTAGAAAAATTTCAAGAGATGGGAACTGCTTGGAGTGGAGTTTCGGAAAGCTAATTTTAAACATATGAAAGAAGAATGCTTTCTCATACAGGGATACCATTATAAAATTTTGAGATCTTCAATGTCATCATTGATAATAAAAGAAACTATGTTAGAACAGTTAGAGTTGGGTTGGAGAAAAATCCCCCAATGGTCCTCATTCATGGCTACGGTGGCTCAGGAATAATGTTTTGGCAGATAATAAAGCCACTTGCTGATAAATACAATTTATTCGTATTAGATGTTCTTGGATACGGAGGAAGCAGTTGACCTAAATTTACTTGCAAAACTGCAGAAGAAACAGATGAGTTCTTAATAAATCAATTAGAATTGTGGAGAAAACAAATAGACCTTGAAAAATTTATCTTGGTTGGACACTCCTTTGGAGGCTATCTTTGTGGAATTTACGCCTCTAGATATCCCTATAGAGTGAAGAAACTTTAGCTTCTCTCACCTGCAGGGATAGGTAAATAGCCTGAAAATTACGAAGTGATGATGTAATTAGAGTATTATCAGAAAAAAATAAAGCCAATGTTTGATTCGAAATTAGAAGAATACGCCTGGAATGGAGTGTATTTCAAATACTATGAGCCTCAGGCAGAGGATGTGCTGATTGTATCGTTGGTGGCTATGTAAGTAGAAATTTTTCTGGTCTTCCAAAGTCTCACTAACTTGATTATAAACGGTACCTTTGTCAAATATTGATGTTGCCAGGGTCATCTGAATATTCCATTTACAAATGTTTAAATTACGATCTCTTTGCTATTCATCCATTAGAAGAAGATGATAGACTTGGAGGTATATAGATTCCAGTAAGTATATTTTATGGTGATAGAGATTGGATGCCTTAAGAGGGTGCTCTTAATGTTATCAATAAAAATCCATACAGAGGCACTCACAGCCACTTTCATATAATCAAAAATTCAAACCATCATCTCTACTTTGATAATCCTGACGAACTTTCTAAAAAAATACTTAAGGATTTAGAAAATATAAATGAAATAGATGATGTCAAGTCTTAAAAATAAGAGCTAATTACTAGCTTTGACAAAAATAATGAGAAAGAGTCTATGTATATCAAAAATGAGATAGATGCTTGGTTAGACCTCATTGAAGATTTTAATGATTCTAAAAGTAAAATGTTCTACGATCGTTAGTTTAGTACTATAAATTTGAATTAGTAATTTGACTACGTAATGTGATTAAAAAGTTAAATTTTAAAATGCAATTATTTTATTACTTAAAGTCTTAAATGAGTAAATTTATTTCATAATTCACTTCATCACTTTTTGAAATATAGACAAGGGGTTTTGGGGTTTTGGGGTTTTGGGG